GATGCATCAATGACATGCCTAAAGGTCTTATGCAGCCATGATAGTCGAATAGTATATCTCTTGCCTAATTTGGTCTTTTGCCTAGCATTAACATAAGAAACTCTAAGCAACCTCGACATTAATGTGTTTGCCTTATGCATTGTTGACAAATGAGGCACTGTAATCGGGGTCCTCCTGATCGGTATATGGAGAAGGGCAAACATATATCTAGTGTAATGATCATCTTACTAAACGACATACAAAATGTGTTCACCTCTAGCTGCCACCTTTTGACAAAAGTGAAGACTAATGCTACGCTAATGGTGTGATAAGTGCAATTGATAAGTAAGGATTGTAGACAACTTATTTGGTCTGGGGCTAAAAACCAATTAGGCCCAAACTAATTGGGCCCAGACTCAATCCAAGCTCAATTATCTAATTTTTTAAATTTTATTATTTTATTTTTGATTTTATGTTTTATTATTTTATAATTTTATCTTTATTTTATCCACATGTATACATTTTTAATTAATTAATTCATTAATTATTCTTTTCTTTATCTGATTTTTAAATTTTTATGGTTTATCTTTAATTTTAATCTTATTTATCTTATTAGCTTTTCGTAAAAAATAAAAAATTTAAAAAAAAAGAGAAAAAAAGAGATAATGGATGAATGGTTGAAGATCAACGATTAGGGTGGCTGACAATTGGTTTTTATCCTCAAGTTGAGTAAAGGTTTTTCTTGAAGATAAACCTAAATTTCTCTTTGGTGATAAGCTGGAATTTTTAAACTTTGAAAACTCCAATTGTTATTAGAATATTGATCAAGCTTGATCATCCCTTATAAATACACAAACAATTATCCCAGGCAAGAAAAAACACAATAATCACAAAGCAAATTAGATAAAAAATATAGAAGGAAGAATCGAGTAAAAGGCAAGGTTGGCAGTTAAACAAATTTTCAATTATGATCTAAGTCTTTAGAAATTATTTTAGAGGAATTGAAGTTTGTTTTTTTATTAAATTTGGTGGATCTCACAGCATTTGTTCAATGACTAAAACCTAGTTCCTGATCAAATCCTGATAGCCGACGAATTTTCAACAAGAATTTACAGAATCTGGCATGAATTTTTTCATCTAGAGAGAGAAGCAAAAATAAAAAACAATGGAAAAAGAGAGAAAGTGCAAAGAAATTTTGAAAAGGAAAAAAAGATCTTGGCATTTTATATTAGTACAAAATAGGGTCGTTTCATGTATTTCAAAATAAAAAAACTTTTGTGTTTTGCATTTAGATGATCCGACCTGTGTGCACTTTACCCACTGTTTGGAAGTGGGAACCCAGTCCAAACTGAACAAGCTATTTAGCTGCCTAGCCAAGCCGCAGTATCTGAGCTGTCTTTGTGCATGCAGCTGCACCTAATAAGTTGCTAAGCTGAGCCGAATCTTAGTATTTTTTTATTTATTGCTTTAGTTATTTATGTGGTTATTTTTTGTGTTTATTTTTTTATTTGTTTATTTATTTGTTATTTATTCATTTGTAAATATTTTTAAAAAATAATAACATTTTAAAACAAATAAAAAGGAACCCTACTAACATATTGAAGAGTTCAAATTTTAAAAATGAAATTTTAAATAAAATTGAATCTTATGAATATGTTGGAGAATTCAATTTTTTAAAATAAATTGTTTTAATAAAATAAAACCTTACCAACTTATTGGAAGGCAATTTTATTTTCAAAATAAAGTTTTAATAATATATTGAAAAATCTTATGAATTTTTAATAAAAATTAAATTTAAAAAATTATATTTTTCAAAAAACTTTACTAACATATTGGAGGGCTTGTGATATTTTTAAAATAAGATTTTATCAATAAATTAGATAACATTATGATTTTTAATAAAAATTAAGTTAAAAAAGATATAATTTTCATAAAATCCTATCAACATATTAGAGGATAATTTTTTTTAAAAACTCTTATCAACATATTGAAAGATATTTCTGAAAATAAATTATTTTTTTAAAAAAATTAGATTTTTAATCTCTGATGATGGAATTATTAAAAGTGTTGCAAATAACAATCTCTATGTAAATTTCTATGTGAGAAATCCTTACTAAAATTTTCCAACATTGGAGAGTTTAGATAGGAATTTTCGATACCAAGATTCTAAATCTCATTTGATTATCATAAATAAAAGATTTTTTTTCAAAAATTAAATGAATTCGATAACAAAGCCTTTTCAAAGTATGACAAATAGTCTTATTGAATACTCATATGGTGAGGAAATATTCTTAAATTATTACCAACATATTGGAGTAGTTTTAAGAATAATTTTCAACAATTAATTACTTGGTAAGGTTTTAAGACTTTTTAGATAACATGAAATAAAATTGGTATCTTTTTTAGATAGGCATTATAGGGATACTAGAATCTTCCCTGCACGTAACCATACTCTTGGGCTCGGTATTGATTTCTTAGATATGAATCTACTTTTTAAATATACCTGAGTTAATCTTGGAACCTCTCTTTAAAATGTGACAGATTCATTTAGATGACTAATCGCACCTAAATAAAAAAGATTGGTAGAGAGTCATTTAGTCATGTCTAGTGATAGATTTACGGATTTATATATTATGACAATGACAACTAGGACTAGACTACTTAGGCTCAAATCTTGTTTCATGCATTATCTAGATGCCATTACTGTAACTTTGGCTCGTGGTTAATTAACTTCAACGGACTGCATTCCTATAACAATAATAACAACAATAACAACAACAATAACAACAACAATAACAATAGCAATAAAAAAAACAATAAAAATATTAATACAACATCCTTAATATCAACATCATACTCAATATCATAAATAACAACAACTAATTACTAAACTCTAAATGCATAAACTAATATGATTCGTATTATAAATTTGAATGATTACTTGATCATTCAAAATTTAGAATGCAACATGAGAAGCGAAACTCGAGATAATGGAGGTATTGATTGGACCCTCTGGGAAAAACTCAACCTAATGCTCATCTATGGAAGGCTCAACTTTAGTAACTCTCTCTGTCATGAGTTTTAATCCTATCCCAACAAAGTAGCCACTTATTTTGATATCTTTACTCTCTGGTAAATGCTTTCAACTTAAACTACAAGTGCTTTTTTTCTTTTGCTGCATCAACTTTTAGTTTTTTTTTTTAGAGTAAGTCAAATCTTCCACAAAAAATGTAAGATCTAGCTCTTTGTTTGTGAAGCATCAATGTGTTAGTCTACCTTATGAATTATCCCATTGTTTTGTTTTTTACAATCATTAATGCCTTCCATTTCATTGCGAGGCTCAAGTTATTTTTTCTTTATACCTTTTTTTCAAACAAAATGGGTTGAAACTATTACAACGTGCTTAGTTTGGCTAAATCCGAATTCCATTCTAAGTTTATTCCCAATTTTCCATCTATTTATTTGTTTGGTTCAAAAATGGGAAGAAAGTCTAGATTTTGATAAATTGATCAATTCTAGTCAAACCTAAAATTACAAATCTCTTCCCCCTTGGTGTTTGCAATTTTGTTAAATTAGGAAACCAAAACATATTTTTAACCTCATTATACATATAGTATTTTATTGATTTTCACTAATAATCCCAAACAAAAAATTGGATAATGTGGCAAGTGAATAGTACTTTGACCACTACTAATGACCAAAAAATCACCAAGAAATAATAACCAACATCATCCTATAAGGGAAGCAACACAAAAGAAAAAAAAAATCCAAGTGAAGAGAGAGGCATATCAAAGGAGGTTGATGGTAGTTAAGAACTTTTAGGTTAAGCTTATGAGGTGGAATATCTAGGTGACAGGATAGACATCTCATTTTTAAGCGATTTGGAGCATTAGAGGATAAAGTTTTTTTGGGTGAAAATCATGAGTTTTGAGGTTAAATCTAGGCTTTTCTAGGTAATTAAAAAAAAAAAAACTAAGTTGATAGAAATGAAAAAAAGGTTAAGATGAGCATGTGGATTAAATTTGATAGAAATTAGCACTGGTCAATGATGATAAACAGTGACAGATGATGGCTATGCATCGATCAATGGTGGTGAATGATGAATATTGGTGGTTGTGAGATTTTTCGAAAACGGATTTTGTTTTAGAGAGAATAAGAGAAATAAGGAAGAAATGTAGAGGGAAAAAGAGAAAATGAAAAAAGAGAGACGAAAGAGGAAAGAGAAAACAAATCATATTTTTAAATTAATTAATAATTTTAATTTAATTTTTATAAAGTAATTTTTTTTATTTTTTAAATAACTAATTTTTATTAATTAATTACAATTAATTTTATTTTTATTAATTTTTTATTATTAATAATTATAATGAATGAGAAACAAATAGAATAATAAAATAATTATTTATGATATTTGGTTTATTGGAATATTTGGAATGAACGAAATATCAAAACAATTATTATATTCTATTCCAAATCTTTTTTATTTTCACAAAATACCTATTCCATTCTTCATCTATCCTATTCTATGAACCAAACGCCAATAAGAAGGAAGAGGTGGGCAACCCAATGTCATCTTTAAGGCTATAGAACTATTGATGTGGGCATTCCCACAAGCTCGTCAAATTTAAAAGTTTGCTGCTTTCCTTGCTAGGTTTGTTTTTTTTTTTTTATGGCAATGTCTAATATTCAAATAAAATATAGAGATATGGTTGTCGTTTTTTTTTAATTTTCTTTATTTAATTATTTTTAAATTTGATTATTTGGATTTAATTTACTAAGTACTGTTGTCCCTAAAAATTAGTCATTAGATTTCTTTAACATAAAATTTTTTATTATAATATAAATTTAATTGAGTAAATTTGAGTTAAATTAAGTTTAAATTTAAAAAATAAAATTAATAAAATTTAAATCAAATTTTAAGTTTTAATTTTCAAATCAAGTTCGAATATGGCAATGCATTAATTGGGTTCAATTGGATTATATCTCTTATTGTTATATTTAAGAGAATAAAAAAAAAAAAAAAGGGAAAGAGCTGTCGACCCGATTTCGTGAGCGGCGCCCATATTCCATTCAGGCCTGATCAGGATTAGGCCCAAGTAATCCTTTAGCATGTTTTAAAGTACAAGCTGAAGTTCGGTCAAAAGTTTTTTTCTGTCCAACGCACCGGTTTAGGATGCCCGACGTAATCACTGGACCATGTTTGTGAGTGTCTCCAATGAGAATTGACATCGTTAAGTTCTCTGGTCATCACCTTTTTTTCTCACCTTTCCCCCTGAATTGCAGTGGATTCGCATTTGTTATCAGGTATATTATTTTATTTATTTTAAAAAAGAATTTATTTTATATCTCTTCTATTTTATCCTCGTAATATATTGATGTTGGTGTTTTTATCTTTTTTCTTCAGCTGGATTTTGATGATTTTAAGGATGTTGCTTTTGATTTATTTTTCTTAGATTTCTGATGACGAGTTTGGTTTGTTGAACCACCCATCTCTCTGTTTTCATAGAAATCAATCTTTTTTCCATGTAATACAATCTGCTTTTGATGGTAATTTTCTTTTGGTGAATGTTCAATGAATTTTAATTAATCTAGTATTGGGAAAATAATGAAGCCAACATCCTAAAATTTTTCATTTCATGGATATCTTACTTCTTCAGTTGACATTTAAATCTGAAAATTTAATAGGGATGGTGGTTCTCTGAAAATTTTATCAGTTTGGTTGATTAAATTCTTGCCCAAAATCATTTATTGAATGATTTCAGAAAGTTTTTAAATTGCAATTGGCTATGGCATTTTAGTGCAATTTTAGTTGCTGTATCTTTGAGTATGTTTCTTTCCACTGTTCTAGAAATCTGACTGGTTTTATACGTGTTTTGAAGGAGAAAAAGATAGAGAAGAAGATATTATCCATTTGTTGCAATGAATCAGATTGATGATTCTATGCGGAATCAAATAGCAGCTCTTTTGCGAGTTATAAATTTCACGCGATGTTTCAAAGAAGACAATGTTCCAATTGAAATAGAAGAGGTAATAGACATGGTTTATTTTCCGCTTTGTTTTTTGTTTATTCAACCCATTCTTTTCTGACCCTTTTTTTTTTTTGGTTGTTTCTGCTTTCAATTTCTCAGGGTCTCTTTCTGGGTTCTATTGCAGCTGCTAATAATCTGGATGCACTTAAAAGTTTAAATATCACACATATCTTAACTGTGGCTAGTTCCCTAAAACCTTCTCATAGCAATGACTTTATGTACAAAATTATACCAGGTGGGAAAGTTCTCCTTTAATCAGGTGATATAGTTTGAACTAGCATATCATAAAGCTTGGACTTTTTATGCTGTGATTCGTTGGCATTTGTAGTTCCATTTGTCTCTGGTTCCATTTTTATATTTAATTTAATTTAATATAACTATATAAAAACTATTTTAACTTTTAATTATAATACACACTTACATATTTAATATAATTATATACAAATTATTTTAAATATTTATTTATGATAAACATTTAGTATGTAATTATTTTTTATATTAATAATATAAGTATAATATAAATAATCATTTAGTATAATTGTAGTTCATCATTTAATCGCTTATTATTTTGATTTTAGCATAATTGTAGCTCATTATATAATTTATTCTAAATTACATGATTAACAATTAATAATATAATTATAACATAAACATAACGTATATACACAAATTAATGGCTTGTTCTATATATTTTATTCTAAATTACATGTTAATTGATTCCTTTGTATAGTTATAATACATTATATAATTTATTCTATATGATTTATTGACATATATACCCATAATAATAAAAAATATATAATTTACTTTAAATCATATTATAAATTTTAAGAAATTTTATAAGTAACATAACATATGTATAAGTTATATTAGTTAGATATTAAAAACATATATTTTTTTGATATTTTTAATAATTTTAATAAGTTATCATTTGTGTTATATTTATTATTTTTATTTGTGTTATATTTATTTTTTTTATAAAAGTAATATTTTAAATAAAATTATACTTAATTTAGTCTTAGATTATTTCAGATTAATTTTTCGAGCAATTTCTGTTTCAGATTATTTCGGGTTTGGGTTATTTTCATTTTCCAAAAGTCATTTTTCGCGAAACAAATGAGGCCTTAGATTTGGGTTATTTTCAGCATCGGGTTGGGTGGGTTCGGGTTGTTGATTTTTTATGATCGATAGGGTTGGGTAGGGTTTTGGTTTGGGTAAGTTAGATGGACTTTTCAATTTCAGCTAGAATTTACAGTTCTATGCCTAAGCAATTGGCTTGTTAACCACTAATAGTTTAGCCCTGCTGGAATGTTCTGCTATAAAATGTGTTTCTAACTAAGATTATAACAAATTATCCTTAACTTACAATTGTTTGCTAATCTATGCATATTAAGCTGTCTGTGCCGTATGCTCAAACATCCCAAGTTGCCTTCATGTTTGATCAGTTTCAACCGTATTTATCCTCTTGTTATATATGATTTTGTATAGTTTTTTCTGTGCTTCCTCTGACTGTTGCATTATGATTTCTTCCACCTACAGAACAAGGTTTTTAATACCTTAACCTAATGTGTATCCTGATGTGAAGGTCTCTCATATGCTTATTAATGTTATAAGCCATATTGAACATCCTGAAGTGCCATTTAGTGCTAACTCTTAAGATCTTTTCTGCTAATTCAGTCCTGGACAAAGAAGACACAAATTTAAGTCAGTACTTTGATGAATGCTTCGATTTCATTGATGAAGCGAAAAGACAGGGTGGCAGTGTATTGGTTCACTGCTTTGTTGGAAAATCAAGAAGGTAATGTTCTAGTGATTTTCTATTCATTTTCTGAAATGATTATTCTGCAGATACTTAATATGAACATGTGTTTAACATGTTGACTTGCATTTATCCACATTTTAATATTCTGTTGCCAACCTGCATTCTCATGTATTCACTGTAATTTATCTAACAAATAGGCAATAATCTGGAGGTTTTTATTGCTGCAATAGTTACTGAGTCCAAAGATTGAAGTGTGAAATTTAGCTCTGTCATTTAAGACTACACAACTCAATCTTTCAAATGAATTATGCTTCAAAAATTAGGTGCAACCCTTGGCCTAGTTATGTTAGGTGATTTAGAATCTTACAACTCGGTTACCAAAGTTTTTGCTTGTACAACTCAGTTACCAAAGTTTATGCTTGTACCTTAATGAAACGAAGTCACAGGTTTGCAACTTCACTGTTTTCTTCTGTTTCCAAAAAATTTTGGAAGCAGAAAGGAAGACCTGTATTTAAAGCAGAAAGAACCTAACAGTCCCTGGTAGAAGTTTGATTGATAACTGTGCTATTTCTAGAAAACACCTTGCTTTCAGATCTCAGATTTACATCATGAACAAAATGTTTTGTTAATTGTAATTGAATGTAATTTATATAAAATGGTAATGAACCATTGGACATTTTTTAAGCATGGTTACCTTGCTTGTGTTGTTGGCGTTGGCATTGTCTGAAGCAAATGTTCAGAGATGTAAAGGTGAGTTTAGAAGTAGTGTAATTAATTAAATTTAGAAATAAAGTTAAACCATCCTGGGATTTCGTATTATATCAGTGAGAACTTCAATTATCTAGGTGTATCTTCCAAGTTGTGTGTCATAAGGATCAGAAGCTTGTATGCATCTTGTTTGATATAATTTCTTATTCTTTCTCTCTTTGTGATGTTTAAACAACACAGTTTAGAAAGACATTCTTTCAAGCTGCACCTTGCTTCTTTGAATTGTTAGATGCTTTAAGCATATTGTTGATTCTTTTTTTTTTTTTTCCCTTCAGATAAGTCATATTATGTGTTCAAATTGTTATGTCATGCAGTGTGACTATAGTTGTTGCCTATCTAATGAAAAAGCATGGTATGAGCTTATCACAAGCCTTGAAACATGTGAAGAGCAAAAGGCCTCTGGCAGCTCCTAATTCTGGTTTCATCCAACAATTGAAGGAGCTTGAAAAATCTCTTCAAGGTGCATCATAATATATATATATATATATATTTATAAATAAATAAAGATATATGTATATTTACCCCTTGAGACACAAGTTCCATCATAGCATGCATCAATCACCAAAATGAAGCTTTCTAGACATTTACTTCATGAAGTTGGATCTCTTCACCCCATTGAAATGTCTAGTTCTGCAGCTTCTGCTCATGTTAGTATTGTTTAAAAAGGTGAAACTTTTGATTCAAAATATGTTGTTGCTTGCATTTGTACTATGAGTATTTGAACAAACTTTGATGGAAGAAACCATGTGGATGCTGTCACCTTAGTCCACCAGAAACATCTAGCAAAGCACTTCAAAGGTCCTGATGTAGCTAGAAGGCACTTGATCCTTTAGTTATGTGCTTCCAAGAATGTCCGAGGAATGTCCTCGCTCTAGAGGAAAAGGCAAAAGTTGAATGTAGGGAAATTTTTGTTCGGGACTGAGCTGTTTGTTTTTCTCTCAGATTAAGTTTTGAACCTTGCAAAAAAAGCTCTAGACTTACTTTTGATTTTTGTGGTGAGTATCCAACTGTATCTGCTAATCACTATAAGCTTAAAATGGGATCTTTAAAGGCTTAATAATGTAGGTTGTTGACTTGACAAATCTCCATAGCATACTTCATGGCATAGCTGGATTTACAAATGACACTGTTAGTAAGACCAGTTGAAGTCCCACCATTTGTTGTTTTTCAGTATCTAATTATTCGTACATTTTTTTCTTCCCTGTTCAAATCTTGCATTAACTGAAAGTTTTCCTTCTTCCACTTCCACTTGTGATGCTGCAGCCAACAAACAACAGATGAAAGTTAATGAATGAAGAAAAGCTGCTTTACCTTTAGTTGGTCCAAGATATTGATGATCAAGTATTTCCATTATGCTGTAGATTTTAAGGCTTGCTATTGCAGGTGGGTGATTCCTGATTGGCCACCATTTCTGTTAACGTCACCGTTCAGATTGTATGTGTTAGCTCATATTGATACTGGAGATTTTTCTTTTCTTTCTCTTTTTTTTTTTTTCCTCGGTGGAAATAGAAAATGAAAAGGGGGCAATTTCTTGCTCATGCTTTTTGTGTTTACTATTATTATATATCTGAAAAATGCAGGGAGATTTTTTTTTTTTCAATAATATGGTGACAAAAAATTATTGATCAAGATCTGCCATTTTATAATACGGTAAAAATAGGCATTATAATAATTTAGAAAGAAAAAAAAGGTTTACCATTTTTTTTTAAAATTTCTGCAAGTTGTGGTTTGGACTTAAGCCCAAACGACACGAGTACAGGCCAGAGCAATTTGTACTGCTACACAAGACAATACCTTTTTGAAAGAAAAACGTCTCACACTTATAATGTTCGACTCTCATGAAATAAGTACTTTATATTATTAATATTCATTAACTTTATACATTATGTGAGACGGTAAAAATATCAAAACAAATCAAAGTTACTTGCAATTTACGGATCGTTTGAATGAATCATACAATTATATTTCATAAAATTGAATTAAAAATAATGATAATAATAAAATTAATTATTATAATATTAAATTAAAATTAATAATAAAATATGTATTTATATATAAATATAACGATGACATAAGATAAAATATATCAATTTACTGTCACATCAAAGGACATCAACTGTCATCGTATAACATTGAATTCTATTTAAATTTTATACTAAAACAATCTACAGTTTTAAAATTCATTAAACTAATCCCACCGTCATTGAATCGTTCTCCTTTCACGATATATTGGATATATTGGATATAGTACAATGGAATCCAAATGACGTCTGTTTTAATAAAAAAAAAAAAAAGGAAAATACCTTTTACAAAAAAACTATTGCTAATTAAAAGAAGATTAAATATTCGCTTTTGTGGGAATTAATCTAGCAATGCCCAAACTCATCAATCACGTGCCAATAGAAAGCATCATTATTACAGAACTACATAAAACGAAGTACATGGTATGGTGAATCAAAGGGGTCAATGCATGAACTGATAAGATAACTAACTGACAGCATCCCAAAAAAGAAAAAAAAATTGTGTCTCCTGTCAGCACTATTTATTTAAACAGTTTAACAAACAAGTTTAGTAAAAGTAGTAGCTAGCTTTACTAGATGCATAGCTTCTCTGGTTAAGTTTTCCTTTCTTAGGTTTCTTTTTTTCCCTTCAACTCCATTCTGTTCATCCATTTTATAATGTAATATCTGTGAAATTTCTCTTGCAATGCTGCACTGTAAACCATATTTAAATTAACTGGTTAATTTCCAAGAATTTTGGAACTACCCAGATGACCAGACTTATTTCAAATTTTGGCATTCTATTTCGTTAGTTTGCTGTAAAGATAACTCAATGCTCCTCGGATTAATTACATTACATTATTGTTGGTTTCTCATCAATTTGCTTTGCAGAAATGTTTTTATGTTCCGATGTCTATGCACTATTTATTCTTGAAACAAAGCTAATGGTTGCGTTTCGAAAAACCCATTTTTGGGACTTTTCTAGAATAGGATTCATGGTTTATGCAATTTAGAGCAAATACATAGTTTTCATTTTGGATGAGTGATGACTTTGCTTTATTATAGAACATTTGAAATGTTGGCTTTACTAACCCAATTGGAAAGTTTAATCCTGTTTGTGGATGTATGACCGTACGCGCACTTGTTGCAGGAATTTAGCCATATTTGGGAAACTAATCACGATCCACCGTTGATGATGTTAGATCATATATTTAATAATGGATATGGTATATATTGTATAATGACTAAGGAAACAATGAAATGGTTGTATATATATAAACTGTAGTTTTAATAATCTTTATAAAAATCTGACATTAAATATTGGATAGTGGCTGCTATAACTAAGTTATAAAGCATGATCGTCCGCAGCTTATAGTTTTGGTTTTTCTTAAGCTAACAAATATGGAGAGATTAATGCCACTAAAAGTACTTTTCAGTTGTTAAATTTATTTTGATTTGGATGATGTTGCACAGTTATTCCAGCTGTTGATTCACTTTGATTTAAAGTCACTATATATGTGAAGATTTCGGATTCTAAGTTGTATTGCATACACTAACAAATCAAACTTCTTATTGAAAACAAATCAGTGAATAATATTTAATTTTATATATCAGAGTTATGCTGTTCAGCAAATCATTTCCCTTTTTAATATCTCCTTGGATCCCTTTATCCTTTCAATTGCTTCCTCTAAAATTTGATCCCAAGTCCTTGATAAACAACTTAAGAGACATTAACAGCTAGCTGCAACCTTATAGTGTTCAGTTCATTGAGAATTTAGATTGTAGCATTTACAATACTTGCCATTATCTGACGCTGTGCAACGCAGAGTTACAGAATTGAAGGTTTATACTTATATAATTCTTGGTATTTTTGATAAATTGAGGTAGTCATGGACAAGGAAGATACAAATCTAATGTAGTACTTTGACGAGTGTTTCAGTTTCATTGATGTGGTGTGTTGGTTCACTGCTTTATGGGAATATCTAGAAGGTGTTTTTCCCTACTTTCGTGTTTATTCTTTGATCATGATAATATTTTTATAAAATTGTTTCTTGGATAAAATGATCCCATATTAAAAAGCTTTTATTTGAATTATTAGCATTATTACATCATAACTGAGAATCAATACTCTTTACTTGTGCAATCTGTATATCAAGTGTCTCTTTTCACAGACATTCTTAGAGCGTCATTCCTTCAGCTTCATTCATGTTATTCTGCAACCTTTCACTGTTTGTCACAAACTGGAATTAGCTGGTAGTATCACGGATCTGATTTAAATATTATAAAGAAAACGTATGTTCCTTATGTCATTTGATACTACCTTCAATAGTTGTATGTATTGATCGGAGATAATTTTCTATTATGCCAACTGCTCTTTAAGTTTGCAGTTCGCAAAGTACTAGTTTTACTTTGTCTGATAAGTTTTGCTGCTTTTAAACTTGCATCTCGTAGCTTAAAGTGCATAATCACACTGTTAAATAACTTAAATTCGAGGAAGAGTATATTCTGCCAATTATGGAAACTTGAAAGCAAACTAAGTAGATCGTGTCAAAGCTTTTGTTTGCTTAATTACATGTTGCAGTGTGACAGTGGTTGTGGCTTATCCGATGAAAAAGCATGGTATGAGCTTTTCTCAAGCTTTGGAACATGTAAAGAGCAGACGACCTCAAGCATCTTCCAATTCTGGTTTCATTTTACAGCTGCAACACTTTGAAAAACTCTTCAAGGTTGATCATTTTTGAACGCTTTCCTCAACATTAGATGCTTCATCTGTTGCTGAAGTGTATAATTGGTGATTTTGCTGTGTCTTTTACAAGTAAATTGTCGGTGAATTTGTAATAACTTCAATTGAACTTTGCTGGTGACTTGTTTTTGTAATGTAGGCAAGGAAGATGAGAAGACCAAGCTCGATCTATCTGCATCACTTTGTCAGTCCACTTTCTCCTTCTTCAACAAAAAGCAGTGAGACGACAATGAATGAAGTGATGAATGCAGAAAGGCCAAGTTTTACAAGATCACTAAAAGCTGCAATTTTCACATCTTTGTTAGATTGGGGGGCAGAGTAACATATTCAGTGTTCAACAAGAATGGTTTGTTACAGCCATTGAAAAACTGCAGGGTTATGCAGAGATAGTGAATTTGGTAGGAAGCAGACTGAAAAGTGAAAGGAAATTTTCCTGACTTGAATGTTTGGTTACATCTGTATCATAAAGTAAATGATTGGTTGAGACAATTTTTCATCCCTTTTTTCTTCTTTACAATCACCAAACAAAGCATAACTATTACAATAATATGCACACAACATCAAGAAAACAAAAGCTATAGCAAAAAAAGGCGTGTGATTTGGTCAGAAAACAAATTGATTGGGGAGTTTTGCAACTTATTCATTTATTTTGTGGGAAAGGTTCACGACAACAGTAGTTACGTTTACATCTCAAAAGAATATTAAGGCCTGATGTTGGCAGTAACTTTTATCTTTAAAAGTTACTTTTGATTTAATTTCAACGCTAAACAATAAAAAATATAGTTTTTTTTTTTTTTAATTTAAAATTTTGATTTTGCTACTCAAACCAAAAAGCAATTTAAGAAGTGTTTTTACTTAGAAAAATGCTTTTGGGATAGAAAATAATTATATTAATTTTTTTTAATATTTCATTATTTTATGCATATCTTTTTAGATATTTCAATTCTTTACAATCGTTTTTTATAGTAATATTAAATATTTAAAATTTTTAATTACACTTTTTAAATGTACTTTTTCTTTCAAAACTTTTTAAATCACCTCATTAATGTTAAATCAAAAGTAAATATTTTTTTGGTACAGAGGAGATTATAGTCTAAATACAAAAAAATAGATCGTAAGTGTTGATTATAGTCTAAATACAAAAAAATAGATCATAAATGTTAAAATTTAAAATTATAGAGTATCATATTTTAAAAATCATAATATGAACGAATTAAATTAAATTTTAGGTTAAAAAATACTAATTTTTTTTAATAAGAAAGAATTATAGATTTGACAGAGATGATTTTCAAGGCCGAGCCACAATTATTCATTAATAAACTCTGTTCCTCTTGATTTCACAGCCAGGGGTGAATGAAACTGCCATTAAGCCAGCCAACACTTTCTGTCATTAAAAAAAAAAAAAAAGCAAGTTGAGAGATTAATTATTTAAAAATTTATTTTATTTTTATGAGTTTAATTATAATTTTTATATATTTTATGGTATTTAAATTATTTAATATTTTAATTCGTTTTCATGTAGAAAGGTTTAAATAAAATTGTATTTGGTACTTTACGTTTCATTATGGTTTTAGATTTTTTAATTTAAGGTTTTACATTTAGTTATTATTAAATATCTACGTTATTATAATTTCAATTAATTTTTAGACGATAAATACTTGAAATTAGAGTCGATAATAGTTCGGTTTCAAAAAAATTGGGTTTTGGTTTTTTAAAAATCAAACCAAATAAGCATAGAAATTGAATAAAGACTCGAATCAAATTAACTAGTTTGAATCAAATCAGTTGGCTGACTTTTAAAATGTAAATATTTTTATTTTTTAAACATTATTTTTTTTAATTTAGATAAATTTATA